TGGCGTTCATTTGAAAAAAGCGAAATTACTTTCGGAATGATCTAATATAAAACTTTCGATGAACATTAGCATGAATCTCCAATTTTGTACCTCAGAATTATAAATTTATACCTCTCCAGCTTTGATATTCCTGATAGCAAAGAATGAAGACCACGGTAGTCTCAAATCATGTGTATCCACAAACACATGCTGCACTTGTACATTCGGATCGCATGAGTGGTTCAAAAACCTGCAAAAAATTTATGAATGAACAAAAAGAAAAAGTAAGCAGTATTCTATCTACCTTCCCACATTGCCCTTCTTCTTAGCGTCTACGACGAACAAAGTGTTGTTCTCACCAAAGTAATCAGCCCATTTGAATACCGTATCATCGCCTACAGCTGCTGCCGCGTCAACTGAAGAATAAGAAGATTACTATTGGAAACATAAAGCAAATCCTCCCTACTTTTCTCTAACTCCGCAGCATTCAACTTTTTTCGTCGTGGATTTAACTCTTCATTTTGCAACTCCTTGTGTTTCCTACGAACTTTCTTCATTTTCGGTTCCTCTTCTTCACTGGATGATGATGATGACATATCCGATCTATAAAAAATAAGATCATTTATCTGCGTAAGGAACAAAGTTAATAATATGAGATAATTTCGGCTGGCGAGTACGATGCTCTTACGTTTTTTTCCTTCAATACGGCCAATCAAACTGTGAAAATACCACTCAAACTGCTGGACCAAGGGTAACACCAAGTGGTAATGAGCTTGGTTAGACTTTGTCACTACTTTGAGTGACCCTTATATGAACTTTATTTAATAAAAAAGTACTTTTTTCGGCAAAAAATCGCTCAAGTTCCCTTAAAAAATTCGTTTCAAAATTCCGCTAGATTTTGAAAAATTGATCACAGCTTGAAAATCTTTACTATTCCGATCCAAAAGATATGTTTTGTCCTTGTTGAGCATTTATGTCATCAACCAACCCCAATCCATCATCATCCGCATCCTTTTTGGACATAGCCGCTTCGTCCTCCTCATCTGAACTGCCGATACCCATATCCAGGTATCCGCATTTCTCAAGTGTCGTTGCTTTCTCGTTCTCCACCTTCAATATCAAACTTTTCCCTTGTTCTCCAAATAGATGGAAAGATTTTACCGCATCATTCAAATCAAGATCAGCAAAGTATTCATCTTCTCCCTGTAGCGCATCGGCTATGCTATCTGTCAGCAACGCTCCAACGTAATTAGCAATGAATGCTCCAGCAGGTATATCACATAGCGCACGCACACCCCATCCACTTTGTGCAGTTTTGTAGATCTAAAAAAATCACTGATCTCACAATCAGGAAGCTCAGCCTCTCACTTGAATCGGGTATCGAATCGGCTGTTGTACCACTCGATTGAAGCAGCGCTTCTGTTGGCATCCGCAGTTGTCATTACACTCAAAAACGCCCGTGATGGTTTTCCCAAGGAGTATCCGATAGCTGTATCTGAAATAGGAGTAAAAATGCACCTGAACAGTTTGTGATATAATTTCATACGACCAAACTTCAAGAAG